GTGGAAATTGACTAGAATAATAATATGAAAATAGGGTGCAAAACTCATGGCAAAAATGTTAATTTCATTTCGCAAGTTGTTATTAACATTATATGTTTAGTAAAATTGTGTGCAAATGAATTAAAAATCATTTTTTCCGGTTTGTTTATTGGCATTCCTTTTTCTCACCCTTTTTTTAAAAGCTGCAAGTAAAGTCACATTTGGGATGTGAATGACTATATTTGGGAAGAAGAAAATAATGACATTATTTGGGCCCCTATTCCACAACAAAACAATCTATGAGTAGGTTAAGTTGTTGTTGTTGTTATGTGTGAATGGTAGTATAATTTTGACTCATGTACATTGTTGGTATGTTTTCATATGCTGACAAGAATGTGGCATTCATTTATTAACATGATTGAGCAAATGGGAGCCTAATGTGATAGTTCACTATATTGAGGAACATTTTGCTAAGTTATGGCAAAACTTCATGTGGTGGCTAGTTAATCATAACCTTAATTCGAGACGTGAAGAAGCATTGAGCTTGCCTTGATCGAAACAACCTACCACAACAACCAAAAAACAATACATGTCATAATAGTAAACATTAGATAGATTAAGCTTATAGCACTTGTAAAGACATGTGCATTATACAACTATTGTTATGATATTTGATTTATGATTGTAGATGGAGTTCATTTACAAAGACATATTTAATCACTCTTATTGCACAGTTATTAATAACAGGGAAGAATTGTGTTTACTTTTGGGTGTGATTATAATGAAACAAGTCTTTCATAACATTTATGAAGTGATTGACGATACATTCCACAACCTATTTTTAGCCATTTATAGACTTAGTGAAACTCTGAGAGATTGAGTTGAACAAAGTTACTATACATGTAACGTGATTAACAACTTGTGAAATGAAAGTGACCAATTGCACAATGCTTTCTGCAAATTGTTTATTTGCAACTTATTTCTAGCCATTTGTAGAAAATTTTACTAAACATATAATGGGAACAACAAATTGTGAAATGAAAATGACTATTTGAATAATGCTTTTTACAACTTGTTTTTAGGCATTTGCATAGTGTTTTACAAAACATGTAATAAGATTAATAACTTGCAAAATGAAATTGACCATTTGTGTTATGGGATTTGCAGCCTATTTATTTGCAACATGTTTTTAGCCATTTCTAGACAATTTTACTAAACATGTAACAAGACTAACAACTTGCGAAATAAAAGTGACCATCTCAATAATATTTTTTGCAACTTGTTTTTAGGAACTTGACCATTTTCATACTATTTACCTGGTCAATTTCTACCAAATTTAACCTTTTAGGAGAATTATACAAGGGTAAATGTTTTGAGAAATTAGTATACAAGAACAACTAAAGTACATCCTAATAAACATGTTGATATTAACATTCATGATTCACTATACTTGTAACGGAATTTACTACTAAAGTGATAGTATTTACTAAAAACTAGCATATATATGACAGCAACTACATTACACATATTCAAATGACAAGTTAACATTAAAATTAAATAAGCATTTAATTTCTTGTCATTCATGCCACAAAACATATCTTATTTACTAGGCATCATCTATAAAAGGAATAGCTTATCCCCCAATCCTTCTATCAAAAAATTAAGAAAGGTTCAAAAGTCTCCTTTGAAGATGTTGACCCAGTGTTAGATGTTATCAAAGCTTGCTAACCTGCAACAAAAAATCATAACTCAAAATTTTAATTTCGCAATAATCAATTTCTTTCACCTTATGAAACACCCAACACACACTTCTCCATTGACAACCTTAATATAGGGTTTCACAATTTGATTAATGATTTTAACAACATTAACCACCTTATGCTTACTGTTTGCCTCAAACATCATGGCCACTAATCACTTGCCCCCATTTTTCCATTTTCAACACATCAATCTCCCATCCTCATCAAATTCTCAATCTAAACCCTTTTCATCAACAAACACATCCCTATATGAGCATCAAGAAACCGCAAAAATTAAAAACCCAAACCTCACTGTCAACCTCTACTCACTCATGTAATGTCGCATGTTAATTCCCTCTCATACTACAAACCCACTTACCTATAAGCAAAACCCATTAGAATGAACAATGTTTGTAAAATGGTGATAGTCAGAGGAGTAAGGTAATAGCATTTTGAAAGAAAAATTACTCACACTTTCCTTTTCTCATCTTTCACATCTTGCTCCAAGCTTTTGGCTTTCCAATTTGCGATAAATTGCTATCTTGCTTCAATATATTATTGTGTGAAAAACTTTAGCTACTTCTTTTTCTTACTTCACGAGTGTTTTAGTCATTTCACCAAAACTTACAAATCTCATATTAATATCTCATGTCTATTTGGTCATTTCATTTATTTGGATGATCTTTTTGTCTTTTTGAATTGCATTAAGTATTTTCTAATCATTTTTTCTTGTTTAAAACATTAATTTCATACATCTAATATTCTTAACTAATTATAAAATTTCGCAAACAATAGACCAAATTCATCTAATTAATGACTTTTATTGAAAATAATTTTAATATTTTAATAAAAATAATTAATTTTAAGGGAAAATTGAGGAGAAGAACCTAAAAAAATTAGTATTTATGGAGAGGGATCTTAAAAATTGTAATTAATTTGAAGGACCAAAAATTTAAATATGAATTTACAATTATGAAATTATCCCTGGCCAAATCTCTACATTATCTCCAAGACCCATCTTAATATTTGACTATCAGTTATCAATTGAACTATAAATTTATAATTGCTAAATTGCCCCCCATTAAAATTAAAAACTAAATACAACAATTAACAAAAAATAGAGTCCTATTTTTCAGTCATTCATATCTGCATCTACTAGCCTTTCATTCCAATATGGTAGGAAAAATTTCCAGCTTGCGCAACTGCGATTTTGCCCCTCATTCCGATGTGGTTGGAAAAATTATTAGTGAAGCTTAGGTTACGAAGATATACTATTTACTTGATTTTCATATTTTGGTTAAAACAAAGAACTATATTTATATTCATTTAAGAAGCTTTGTATATGTAGTGTGATTGTGTTCATATGTATGTATAGTTGGGATTGAATGAAGGTACAACTATATACTTTTATATTCATCCAAAAAGTCTTTATATAGAGGCGATGAAAAAATTAGAAAACATTCGGTACAAATAAACTAAAGGAGGGAAAATAATGTTCAGAATATACATACCGTCCAATAAATAGTCTGCTAGTTGATTCCTTTTAATTTGTCTTTTTTGTTCTGGATTTACAAGAAGACAATTGCTAGTGATAAAAACTTTGACTGCATCAAAAAGAGATACAGAGAGAGAGAGAGAGAGAAAAATCAAGTTCAATTGATAATTAACTGTCAAATTGAGATAGGATGGTGTTAGAGATAATATGGGGATTTGATAATGGATAATTTGGTAATTGTAAAATTTTATTTTAATTTTTGGTCTTTCAAATTAATTACAATTTTTAAGATCCCTCTTAATAAATACTAATTTTTTTAGGTCCTTCTCTCTAATTTTCCCTAATTTTAACTAATTTCAGCAGTTTAAGTAAATCTTTTATTAAGCGCTTCTAATAAAGATAGAAAGAAGTATCATAAATTATGTAAAGATGTTTATATTTCTTATGACTTTAGCTATAATGATTAATGAATAAGATTAGATTGAGTCAAATCAATTGTTTTTTTTTATAAAAAAGGACACATAACAACATATATCAACATATTTAAAATTTTAAAGTCAACATTTTTTAATCTTAAACACGAATGTTGTTAGTCTTAAAAATTAAATTGAATATATTAGCATTTGAGAATGTTTTGTCAATACTTATAATTTTAATGTCAACATTTTTGCTAGCAATATTAAGATTAGAAGATTTAAAACACAATTGGTTATTATTTATCAAAAGTAGATTTTATACCATACACCTAAAACATGGGATAATATTTTTGGGGAATGAGACAAAATGATAGATAACAGAAGATATGTTTAAAGGCTGCAATAATAAAGAGCAAATAAATTGCTTTAAATAACTAATAAAGGAATGTAAGTAAACAACATTAATAGAGTAAGAAAAAAAAATAATTAAAAGAAAATGTCCTGTCACTACTGTAAAAAAGACATTTTACGGTGGTTAAAAGAAGCTTTTCACGGCGGTTTTGAAAGCGATGTACAATGCCATCGATATAAAATATAGAGAATTTCATGATGTTTAAGAACCATTGTACTATGTGACTTTTCATGGTGATTATATAAATAACCACTGTGAAAAGTTTTTTTTTTAAATTTTCTTTTCATTCTATTGATTAGGATAGAACGGGGCAACAAAACACTAGGAGAAGGGGTTTGAGAATCAATCAACCAATAATATGCTACCAGTCAAAAGCATTCTGATGCAGCAAAAGTAAATCCGTTTCCCACCATAATAACACCACTTAGCTTTGCATTCAACTACCAGACCAAAGCTAGTAAGATTTAATGAAGGTCACAACAAAGACATAAATTTGATAAAATTCATGCTATCAAACTTTGATCTACAAAATGAGAGAGACAGAAGTCAGATCTACTTAAGCTTTCAAGTATTAAAGTATGTATAAACAAGAAGAGAAATAAAAATCATATTTATTTAAACTCAAAACAAGCATCATATTTTTAATCAAAGAAACAACTAAACCACAAAAGTTGTGAAACCCAGGAAAAGAATGAAGGAAAAAGGACAAAAAAACTCACAGATAAGGATGAAGAGGATGACATGACGGTGACGGCGGCGGCGATGGAAGAATATGGCAGAGACAATAAAAGTAAGGGATAAATGCTAGCAAAGGTAGGAGGAGGGAGAAAATCAAATGGGGACGGTAGTGGGGGAGCATGAGCTTTGGCTATGAAAAATAAAAACTATCGCGCGATGGATAGGATTTTAAAATTTTGATAAACTTTTAAAGGCGGTTTTAAAAAACCAGCGTAAAAAACACTTTCTAAGGCGGTGTTTTCAAAAACTGCCATCAAAAGGACTTTTCACGGTGATTTTCTATATAACCACTGTGAAGAATAAAACTTACTTTCATATAATTACAAAAATGTCATCGTCAAGTTTTTTTTACAGTGTTTTTCTTAATGACCATTGTGAAAAACTTTTTTTGTGGTAGTGTGCCATAGAGGGTTGAGATGTAGGAATGAGGATGAATCATTTCTCGATACAAGAGATTTGTAGCGCAGGCTTTGAAACTGCAATAAGAAAGTTAGAGTTGTGAATCCATAATAAGGATGCATTAAAACACTTAGAAAGATTGGACCAGCTTCATATTTACATCTCCACAAAAGTCCTTCAAGAGCAAACTTTGATAGCAGATGACTTTATGACAGTAATTGTTTCTTAAATTTTTTAAATTTATGAAGGAAAATATTTCAACTCTTGTGGTTAGACCATAAGGGTGAAAACAATATTTGTTGGTCACCGCAAGAGACCATTGGATTCAAGAAAATTACATCCAAGAAGGATTAGAACTTTAGACTTAAGGAATAATTTCATGAGAACAAAGTAATATACCCTTGTAAAGAGTCAGATTCTTCTTCCTTCAAATGGTGTTAAGAAGACAAATTATGCCCCAGACTAAAGTTAAGTATCAATCATTGTGGAGATAAAGCAACATATCCTTTAGCTAGCTTTTAAGCTCACAAAACAATCAAACCATAAAAAGCCCTTGACAGGGGAAAAGAGGTGAATAAGTGCTCCAAAATTTCTTTTTCCATACATCCAAAGACATACATGCCAGAAGTATTCATAATCATATTACGAGACTTCAAGATGTATCACATGAAAGCTTCCAAATGAAAAGTAACTGTTTGAATGGAAGATTAATTTTTCACAAGAACCTCTAAGAATCTTCTATTCTATCCATTTGAGTCTGAATATATTGAGCCATATCTTTGACCTTATAAATTTCCGAATTATTTCCACTCCAATATAAACCATCATAATGATTTAAAATGGAAAGAGGTGTGGCAAGAATGGCATCCGCAATGTGTCATGAGCATATAAAGAACAGATAGGAAGGAATTCCAAGTAGTAGATCTCCAAATTAAGGGGCATGCATTAAAAGATCAACTACTAAATGAAAATTCATCAAGGTACCTTGATCTTGCTGCATCAGCCGGAAGAGATGGTAGTTGACAGGAGGGATCAATTATTTTACCACACAATCAATCTTACTAAGAAACCAATTTTAGTTAGCAACAATATTTTTTTAATAATAATAAAAGCAATGATAATGGAGCTGGGGCATTATACAAGATAACCCCAAAGAAAACTAATATGTACTTTAATGTATATAATATCTTTCAACAATTTTTTTAAATCCACCCCTTTGAAGAAAATTTTTTTTCGGAGGGAACCTTTAAAACTTTTTTATCCAGCCCTCACAACGTTTTGAAATCACAAAACACAAGTTTAAAAGACATAATAAATAATTTATTTACAATCACTAGTTATCTCACTATCCTTCATAACTTTTAAAAATATAATCATAACAATGGATACATATTATATTGGGTGAATTACCAAGAGATCCCAAGAAAAAAAATTTAATTATCAAAAAGTCCCAATGACAAGTGACCTGAAGATGTTGTCATTCTAGTTTTATTTTGGAACATGTCATTGCTTATTCTTCACTTGTTAATAATTGGGATTTGATTGTAATTCTCCTTATTGTATCACTATCAATGAGCAGTCTTTATATATTAAAATAGTTTATATTTATTTTTATTTTATTTCGTTTCTTAAACTCTTCAATTTTTATTATTTCTTATATGTGTCATGTTTAGTTTTTGGCAAGTTTTAATATACATTAATTTGATTAAAATTTAATCAAAATCCATTTATATATAACAACTATTACTCCCTCTGATTCCAATCTTATATATAAGAGAATTTGTTTAGCGAGATGATGATGCACTAATAATATCAATGTCTAAAACTTCTAATTATTGGTGAGTTTCACTGAGTTAATTACTCCATATTTCTATTTGCTCAACCTCTCTCCTCCTTGGCAAAAAATCTCTCTCTCTCTCTCTCTTCCTCTCACGTGCTCCCCCAACCCCCCCCCAAATTAGAATGTTTTTGAAAATTAAATTGCAATTTTTACTTATTTATTGTCCTCAATCGCGTTTAGTCATCTTCTTAATTTACATAATTCGGTTATTTGCATATGGCCTTATCAACATTACTGGTTTTCCTGGCTTTGGGATAGATCTAGTGGGTTGCTTGGTCATGTGACGATGTGGCATGTATGATTGGAGCAGCATGCAAGAGTTGGCACTTTCTTCTCTAATCATTTCTTGTGGATGTCCCATTTTCTCACCACTTCAAAAAATTACTGCCACTTTTCTTAGATATGTAGTAGGAAGGCTACTCAGGAGAGACTGAGAGAGAGATCAAGAATTAATGCTGCACAGGGGAGATAATATTTTAATGAATCTGATTTTTTTTTTTAAAAAAAGAATACCATTCTAACATGCAAGTCATTTATACTTCATTCTCATATAAAAAACATATTAAATTAATTAAATTTTTCATATTTATTCTTATTAAAGAAAGGCTATTAAAAAAATACTCCTCCGGTCCTTAATATAGGACCCAATTCTTGGGTTAGTTTTGGTCCTAAATATAAGACCCATTTCTCATATTTATCAATTTTCTCTAAATTACCCCTATGGATACTCTCTCAACCACAATCAAGTAGAAGAAGGAGATGGAGTATTAAAAAAGATGATTATGATGTTTTAGGAAAAATAAGTCACTTTTCTTATAATTAACTAACTTACCTAACTTCCTTAATCTAATCAAATTAGTTAAATGGGTCTTATATTAAGGATCGGAGGAGTATTATGTGTATTTTTTCTCATATTTCTTTTAGATATCGAATTCTCGAAACCTTTGTTGTTTCATCTTTACAAGGGTATGTAGGGAATCCATTAGTGTCTCGGCTGTGTTAATTATCCTACATGTATTTTATGTTTAGGACCAATTTTTTTCCTTACATGTGCCTTACATATATACCACCATAGTGGTGAAAATAGTAGGATAGAAAATTTTCAGTTATTTTCTTACTTTTCTATCTTAATATTCATTTTATTAAACTTTTATAATTCCACTTATCTATTTTTATTAAATCAAATATATTCAAATTTTTCATAAGAGGTAAAATATTGAGAATAACTAGACATCCTTTTCTAATTAGGTTTGCTCCATTTCAGACATAAAAATTAAGTATTCAACTCCAATTATTTATTTAAGTAATAAAACATCTCATGCTTATGTTAATATTATGCTTAGCGTAGGTATTTTGTTTAACCTTTGAGTGATTGAAAGTTCAATCCTTACAGGCAGCAAATAAAAGAAATCGAAATTAATGAACTCATTGCTTTTCGCTTAGTCTTCATGGAATAGATATGATACTACCTTCACAAAGAAAAAGTAGGTGGAGTAGCTAACATCACGTAATTGCATGACATTTATCGATTTATCAATTACTATTTGTTAGTGTAAGATACAAATAATCAAATTGCATAAATTAAAAAATTAGTTCAAATCCGTTAAAGATAATAAACATATAAGAAGCGTATTTTTTTAAAATATATGGACAGTAATTGAAAGAGAGATTAAGTAAAAAAAACAAATTAATACCATTTTTAGTGTATGAAATTTAACCTTATTTTGATTTTTGTCCTTAAAATTCGAAACCAATAATTTTAATTCCTGAAATTTGATCTTATTTTAGTTTTGATCCATGAAATTTTAAACTAACAATTTTAGTTCCTAAAATTTGATTTCGTTTTGATTCGAGTTAAGATTTTTAGTACCAAAAGTAAGAATCAAAAGCAAAATGAGATTAAATTTCAGGGATCAAAAAAATTGTTTTAAATTTCAGAGACTAAAATTATTGGTCTTAAACTTCAGAACTAAAATCAAAATAAGATTAAATTTTAGAAACTAAATATAGTATTTAATCTGAGAAAAATATAGAGAATGTTAAAATAAATGCAATAATGCATATAATGAATTATGAGTAAAAATATAAAAAATGCATTAAATGTTTAAAATATCTAAATTATGGCCTACGGATGTGAACTTTTTCCAGTGAAACAATGAAGTGATTAATAATAGAGTATGATTATTTCATCCAAAAAAAAACAAAGTATGATTATATACTCCCTCGCACGGAGGGGGAAATATAGAGCAAAGTTGGTAGGTGATATATAAATACTTCTGTAAATACTCTTTGAAATTAAAAACATCTTAATTTTCATGAATTAAAACCTAACTTGCTTAAACTTTCTATATAACAAACCAATAAGACAACGCAATTAAGACCCTAAATTCAAACTAAGAAATGAATGGTGGAAGGATACTATTTGGAAAGAAAATGTAAACACATATTGTCTTATGGGGCTTCTAGAAATTACCCTGCGGAAAAACACCTATCTTTTTCTTAAAGGGGAACCATACAAAGACACCCGATTCTATCTGAGTCATTTTTTTTTTAATATTTCAAGTCAAAATAAGATAAGAAACATGTGGACAAATAAACATTTTAAGATTTTTGAGGAGCCTTTAATTAATATTTATAACATTAATGTGCATAGTATGTTAACAAATTTTGAATAAAATATATAAGAGATTTAATTGAATAAGTTTTATTCGTTTTATCAAATAAGGTAAGTGTAAAAACAAAGGTGAATTGTACAAATAATCTCATTTCTTTTTAACGGGTTCTTTAGAAGATTAGTTGTTCTTACAATAAATGATTTCATGTAAGATTCACTACAACTGAAATAATCATTTTTAGTTTCAATAATAATCACTATAAATAAAAATTACAAAAATTAGTTCAAATTTACTTCTTTTTTTTTTGTCAATTAAATAAAGATATCCTTTTATTAGAAATATATTTAAAATACCGTTGAGCACCAAATATAAATATTCTTCCAATTCTAAATATAAAATATATTTCGTAGTGTAAATGGAAAGTATTTCTTAATAAAAATTTGAATATTAATTTGCTACATCATAAAAAATTAGCCTATTTTTAGTAGATTCAATCTTATAAGTGTTCAAATTTGTTTCCTAGTAAGCGAGAAATTTCACTAACGAATAGTCACCTTAGGGATGAGAACTAGAAAATTTAATTGAACAATAAAGTCAAAACTAGTCATTTCGTATGTTTAGAGTGAGGGGGGAAAAAAAAAGGTGGTTAACTCTTTTCTCATTAGTTAAAATGTCGTTTATACAATTTTTTTATTTTAAAAATATTTTAAAGTTTTGCTTATTGTTTGGATATTAGAAGGACGGAAGAAGAAGACAACGACAAGACAACAAATAATTTTTATATAATTTATCAAATATTAATTATAATTAGGCAAAGTGCCTACTCAATAAAATTTTTTTTTCACTCTTAATCGTATAAAATATCTTTTTAGTCTCTTAATCGTATATCTTTAGTTTTAATTAAAAAATACCAATGTTAAAATTTTAAATGTTGAAACAAAAATTATTGACTGACACAAAAAGCCATCATTTGAAATTTATTGGGTGAGTTAAATAATTAAAAAAGTATTTTATAAATTAAGAGGTCAAACAGAAATATAATACTCCCTCCAATCCTAAATATAAGATTTATTTTATAGTATATTATAAAATTAGTATTATATTTAGGATGAATTTCAAAATAAATTGTATAAAAAAAGAATTTTAAAATAAAAATTCCAATCTTATTTTTAATTCATAATTAACTGTAATAATATGCTGTCATAGCTACACGTAATGATTTTCCTTCATTTTCTTTCATGACTTTCTTTTCTTTGGTGTCCAACTCTCCCTCTTGCCTCGGAGACAACAAACGCAACTTTGGGTTTCTCTCTCCTTTTAAAACTGATTAAACCCTCCTCTTTCCTCCTCTCTCTACTTTCTCTCTCTAAAAAAGCGACGAGAGGGAGAGAGTCTTGGTGAAGGAACAGCAAAAGCAAGAACTGTTCCCAGATCTCTCTCTCTTTGATATCCTGAGGAAGAACTAACATATACCCAATTCATAGACAAGGATTAGACGAAGAAGAAGAAGAAGGAGATGGGTCATAACCAGAAGCCTTTGATCTATGCTTTTGTTGCTCGGGGAACTGTTATTCTTGCCGACTACACTGAATTCAGTGGTAACTTCAATTCCATCGCCTTTCAGTGCCTCCAGAAGCTTCCTGCCACCAACAACAAGTTCACTTACAACTGCGATGGCCACACCTTCAATTATCTCGTTGATAATGGCTTCAGTAAGTTTTTTTTGCCTCTTGATTGCCTATTTCGGTTCAGTTCCTCTGGGCATGGGCTTGCCGTTGCCGGTGAAGAGGAAAAGTGTAACCGGGGAATTTGCTGTTTGATTTGGATAAATTTCTCTCAACCCACAGAGGTTATCATTATTATGTTTGGTTGCTTGTACACCGATCTTGGTTTGGCATCTATTGTTTAGTTTGTTGGTGTGATTTGAGTTTTGAATTTGATTTTTACTATTTTAGCAGAAGGAATTGGATCCCTCCTCTCTCAACCCATAAATTATATTCTTTATTTTCATTTGTTATTTTTCATTTTGTCTAGCAAGATTATTTTCGTTTATTTCTTTATCCGAAGGGCACTGCTTGTGAAGTTATAATCGTCGAGTGAAAAGCTTTCTTTAGGTACTCAACAAATCTGATGATCTACTCGGGGAAATGTGGGTGGGCTATTCTTGGGAAGGCTGTTGAAATTAAGTATGGCTTTATGATTGTGAATGGATTTTTGGTTATTTTATCCGGGAATGAGGCACTGAGTAAATTCAATATATGGGTTATCATCTGTCGCCTATATGTTCTAATCTTTTGATCTAATTCCAATTGACTGACTCTATGCTTCCAATATCAAATTTAAATTTTTGCATCAAGATATCTAGTTCGGAGGAATAAAGTATCATCTAATAATGGGGCATCAGTTTGTTGATATCGGCTAGCGAAAGAAAATAGCAGAGAATGGATTAGAGTAAATCATGCAACAGGCGTTGTAGCCCACATTTTCCGAGGATATGAACTGACTTGGATATGGAGTTCAATAATTCCATGCTTCTAGCATGCCTGAACAATGTCTGGGGAACAGAAATATCACGATGGTCATTTATTGCCCTCGCTTGCTTGTTTGGCTTTTGCATCTTTAAGATATTTTTCATTGGTCTTATTGGGTTGTATACCCAGCTTTTTAATGGTAAGAAAAATATGAAAACTAAACTACAAATATGAAAAGCTGAAAGCTCCGTGAGTTGATCTGTATTTCGTGGAAATGACAAGATTGCTTTTTTCTTACTGTTCATATTTTATTTTATAACCATTTGGCCTGTTAAGTATGAAGTATGAACTTCCTTATATGTGAATTGGAGATCTTGATGTGACGGCTATAGAATTACTCTGACAGTTTAGAGTCAACAATTAGGTTGTCTATTATTTCTTCTTCTTCTTTTTTTTTTTTTTTGAGTGAAAGGAGTTTTATTAATCAAGATAAAGTACACATAAGTTCAAAGATTGACGCTAAAGAAAACCAAAATTAAAGGACACCAAGCCCAAAGATGTTGTCTATTATTTCTTAAACGTATTTTCTTGATCTTATCATCCTAAAGGGGTGAATTCAGTTGACAATTGAACTCTTTGTGCATCATGAGTTTGCAAAAATTATCTATCTCAAACAACTACTTAGTTGCTGTTGATTTTGGTGGGTGTTACCCCTACTTTTTAGAATTGATGCTTTCAGAATCTCCGTAACTAAGGGTTTCCAGAGCTAAACGAGTAAAACTTTGCATCTGTGTAAACTGAGGTAACCTTCAGATTAGACGTATTGATCTGTTTAGATCATCAACTAGTCTATGTGCTTTTCCTAACCATCTCCTAAGTTTTTCATTCTTTTCCTCTGGTTCTTTTGCATGGAATGGTAGAAGCAAAACAATAGTCATATATTCTTACTGGAAAATTTCAGGCAGTTGATGTTGCTAGTACTTCAAGCAAAACAATAATTCAGAATTTTTTTTTGTATTAGTACTTGTTAGTTTGTTTTCTACCAGCTCAGCTACTTTTTAACAAGTCATGCCACTCACCCAAAATTTATCGTGACCCCTTACTGAATAAATATAATACAGCATGCGTCATGGGAGACGATAATTCTTCTAAACATTGATCTATTAATGTAACCATTTGGTGTATTGTATCATTTAGAAATCCTATTTTGGTGCACATTTCTTGTTGAAATATTATCCTTTCTTCAGGAGGCTAACCTTAGACATTCTGATTCTTGTATTGTGTTGATAAATATCTGACGTCCTGGTGTTTTGTTTCTTGTAGCATACTGTATTGTAGCGGATGAATCAATTGGAAGACAGGTACCCATGGCATTTTTAGAGCGTGTCAAGGATGATTTTGCATCAATTTATGGTGGCGGAAAGGCTGCTACTGCTGCCGCCAATAGCCTTAACAAGGAGTTTAGGTATTTTATCTTTGGAAGTTAAGTTTGGTGGATTTACTATGTCTTATTCGCTTATTATGTGCTGTGCTCTTTTCTTCAGTCCAAAGTTGAAGGAACATATGCAGTACTGTGTTGATCATCCTGAAGAGATCAGCAAACTTGCAAAGGTGAAAGCTCAGGTTTCGGAAGTTAAAGGTGTCATGATGGAGAATATCGAAAAGGTGCCAAGTTATAGATTCACTTTGTAGCTGCTTTAGTTCAAGATGATAGTACCACATAAATTGACGAAATAAACTTCCATAAGAGAGTAATGGCAGATGAAGCATTAAAATTATAAGCTCTTATGAGAAAAATTTGGTAAAAAACATCTGTAACTTGTAATTGAGTCCTATAAGTTAGCATTGGCTTATATAATGCAAGTCTTGCATCTCCTGCTTTGCGTCTGAAGCCTGATATTCTTTCAAGAGACACTATTCTGTATTCCTATTTTCCTTGGTCGAAATGTATTTTCCAAATATGAAATTTCAAAGTCAATTTTTGCTAAGCTGAAATCAGAAGGGGAAAATTTAACATGCAAAATGTGTTCTAGCAGTTAATTTGTCTTTCAAATCATATTTCTGTGCATTCTTGATCACAACAAATTTTATGTGCCAGAATGGTGTGAGGACATTTTAATTCTGTCATAATGACAGCTGTAAATCCAACCTTGTCTTGTATGGATAGGCAGAGATCTCAGATGGTTGTACCTATCAGAAGAAAAAACTGGAAAAAGTGCAGTTTTATATTTCATAGTAATATAACCTTCAACGGTGTCTTGTGTATGATGCCATTTTATCAGTTGACATTGACTAGTTTATAATTTATTTTAGGTTCTAGACCGGGGGGAAAAGATAGAGCTTCTGGTGGACAAGACTGAGAACCTTAATCACCAGGTTGGTGTGGTGAACTGCTTGCATGTACAATGACCCTTTTATTTTGTGTTTGAATAGTGTTGTGTTTATGAAACTTCCATATGCATGATCAGGATCATAAATGAGTACAAAACTTCTGGTTGTGATTTTCGAGGATGAAGTTTACGTGTAGGGCCCGTTTGGTATACCTGATAGAATTTGGCTTACCTAATAGAGTGAAATGAAATGGACAAAAGGTATAATAAAATATTAATAATTCTAAGGATTAAAAATAATGATTACCTTCTAAGAAAAGGAAGGTAAATTACATGTTTGTCTCCTAAGTTTTGTCAAAATTACGTAGACTTCTCTTGGGTTTTGATGAAAATGCACAAATCTCTCTTTTACTTTCAAAATTAATATGAACTTATTTTGTAAGTTATCTATAATTACGTGAACTTTTTTTCGGTGTCTGAAATTCATGTTGACTCTCCAAACAAAACGTAAACTAGACAAATTTTATTGATTTTGTTAAAATTACCACAAAAAAAATCTGTCTCTAAATCTAAATATACATAGACCTTCAGTGGGGAAAAAATAAAAACAAAATAGAAGTCTCTTAATTTCAATGAGATTCAATAGAATTTTGTGTAATTTAGTCTTGCTTTCTTGGGTATGTGCGTGTATATTTTGAAAATAGGAGGGAGATTTGTACATACGTGTAGTTATATTTTTGGCTTTAGGTGAAGTTTGTCTAGGTTTTAAAAATTAAAACAAATGTCCATATGCTACAATTACAAGAAGCCTTAGTGAGGTAGCTACATGGACCGTATGATGTTTGTTTAGGTTCTGACGAGATTTTTTTATCTGCCATCAGTATCCAATTTGAGTTTTTGTTGGTGGAGTATAAGCAAAACATGTAACTTTGCCATGGTGTTGTATGATTTACGTTTCAGGCACAAGACTTTAGAAACACGGGAACCAAGATACGTCGAAAGATGTGGCTGCAAAACATGAAGATCAAGCTGATCGTACTGGGAATTCTAATAGCACTCATCCTCATAATAGTTCTTTCTGTTTGTCATGGCTTCAACTGTGGGAAATAAGCATATCATTGCTCCCTGAGGGCATTTTGTCTCTTGATATTCCAAACTTTTTTTTTTTTTTGTGATTATATTATAGGTGAGGAAAATATTTTGAATTCTTGCCATGGCTTTGTATGTAGTGAATTTGGCAAATCCCGTGTATTGCTTTTATTATGCTCAAACCAGATTGAACATTATAAGAATGAATGATTTTTGCTAATATAAGTACGTTGGGATTTTTTTTTTTTTTTAAAGTTTAATTGTGCTTTATTTATACAAATTCTGAAAGGCATGAATGTACGGAAATGAAAAATGCGTACGATGCAAGTGCAAACGATGTGGTCTGTGTTATTAGAGTTATTTTTCTGAAAATTTTCGTGGGTGGAATAAAATAATTGACAATGATAATAGGCAGGTATGCCTAAGAATCTATAAGAGAAATTAATTATGCTTAATGACCTGGAAATTCTGCAATTTTTCAGCCTAACGTATTCCTTTTCAATCCCGTAAGCATAGACTGCATTTGAATGGCCTCTTGACATTCTAAAATTGACTTTTACACCCCAGAACGTCAATTGAGGTCCAAAACGATGTATGACGTAATTTTAGGGACAAAATTGAATTTTTGCCTAGCTATTTTAAAGATGAAGCAAATTTTTCATTCTCATAACTTTGGCGGATCAAAATTCAAATTCTACTGGGAAGAGCATTTATTTTTAATAGCTGACAATATTATTTTTTAATAAAAAAAGACCTATGTTTAGTGAAAAAACTGTTCACTTCTAGCCTTTTCTTTTTTAATATATCATTTAAATAAATGTATGTCAAATTGATTTCTTTTATATACAAATCTATTTAGGTGTAAATAACATTATACTAAAATTTTATCCCAATTTCAGTTTGTAAAAGTCAATTGGGTTAGGATTCATTTAAAATAGTTTATAAATAATTTGTTAATCGTGTTTTACAAAATATGAGATAAACATATGAAAAAAAAATTATCTAAACGTACTTATAAGTGATTTCTAATACATTAATCCAATCAAGCCTAGTATCTTGGTAATTTTCAAAACTTTGGTTCGAGCTCAGCCCAATGTTTTTATCCTAAAATGTGATTTTAATATTTTATATTTCCAAATTTTTAATTTAGTTAACGAAAGGGAATATATATATATATATATTTTTTTTTTTTTCAGTCGAAATATGATGAATATAAATATCGAACAGCTGATGCCTTGAAGACCATGTACAAATTAATGATATTAGATTTTTTTATTCGAAAATAAACAGTAGTAAAAGTGGAAAAATCTATCTATTATTAATCTATTAATATATAAAAATAGAGTACAAGGCATGAGTAGCTGACAGCATGACACGTGATATCACTAATGATAAGATAAATATTTTTTTCTTTTCTTTAAAAAAATAAAAGGCCACACCCCATGTTTTGGATCATGCACTATGAAATGTGAGTGGATAGTTTCATTATAAATGTGGGCACGATTTATAAAACCGCTTATGCATGACAGGGGAAAAAAAAAAAAAGATCCCATGTTTCAGATTTATTTTTAATTTATGATTACAAGTAATTTTGAATGTGTGTAGTTTTCTGAATATATGCTAGCTAATAAATTAAAATATCATCCGTTTTAGGGGTGAACGGGGACAGTTTTTTAACCAAAACATGTTTGCATTATGCCACGTGACAGGCTTTTCTAAAAAATAAATATACTGAATTTTTATATGCAAAAAATATGCAGATATCATGTTACAAATTTATTTTTAATTTCCTAATTTCAAGTAATTTTGAACGTGAGCTATTTCTTCAATATATGGTGGCTGTAAATTAAAAAAAAAATTATCATTTAAGTTTGAACGTGGGCATTTTTTTAATTACACTTAAGTGAAGTAATATTTTTTTGTTTAGTTAGGATCATTAATTCCAAAAAAAGTGCCGTTGGTGGAATTGCGTGCTAACAGCATGCCACGTGACACACTGCAGATAAATAAGAAATTTTTTTTAATAAAAATGAAAATTTGAAGGAATCTCTGTGGATGTGACTTTTGATCACACCCCATGTTTCTGTGCCGTATTCCAATGTTGTGTTTTGGGCAGTTTTCTGATTTTAAGTTAATATTTTATATTTTATATTAATTTAATTAATATATTAAATTTTGAATTAAAATTAATATTTCATTAAAAAGCAACAATTGGTTACTCTTTGGGTTCAAATTAATATTTTAGATTTTAAATTACATTTAATAATATTTCAAATAATAAATTAAAATTAATATTTCATAAAAACAAACATATTTCTAAAATAAATATTAGCGCCATGTTTTGGGGTGTGCCTCGTTAATATATAAAAGTATAGTACAAAACAAGAGTTGCTATCAGGCTCACATGTGTCGTCACCAATATGTAGATAAATGGTCCTCATTTTTAAATTTGTATAAAAGCCTCATATTCCCCTATTCATGCGTCTATGATTCTACCCATGTTCTCCTTTTCATGCGCTTTTCTTTTTCTTTTTCTTTTTTGTGGAAAATTATTCGTAGAAAAAATAGAACTTATAAAATGTAAAATTTAAAACATGATCTATCTCACGATTATTTGGTGGTTGGTTACAAAGCAGGAGTTGGTTGCAAGGCCGACATGTGAATTTTGATCACTAGAACATGTTGTTCTGGATTTTAAGGATTTGTTATGTGTAGTTTTTTTATTCCAATTGAGAAATATTTTTAAATTAAAATTAATACTTCTTAAATTTGAGACTTTGTTTTCATAGATTTTTTAATTGAAAGTGAAAATTGCTTGTTGTGAGTTTTGATCACTGCACCCACATTCCTTCGTATTCAAATTTTCTAATTTCAAATTAATATATCATATTTTAAATAAATTTAATTAATAATTCAAATTTTAAATTAAAATTAAAATTTTAATTTTTCAACTAAAATTAACATTTCACAAATAGTGGCTATTGTTTGGATTAATTAATGGATTAAAATAAAATTTCAGCAACTATTGTTCATGAATACGTGTCAACCAGACCTTCCCACTTTGCATATTTTTTGGTTTTCAAATTTTGTATCGGCAATTATATCCACTTTGTCATAATGTTTGTAGCAATCAACTTTTTCGACTGTAATAGCCCATGGTCATAGATGTGGGTTCAGTGACAATTACAGGCAGTAGGATTGATTGTGCGTGTGAGTTTGTGGCTGTATATACGTGTGGTGGCTATAAATAGTCAGTTTAAGGCAGTTTTTTCGGCAATTCGCTCAATCTCCACCTCTCCTATTTTATGTAGTCAACAATGAAAACACTAAATTTTCATTCCATTGATTTGGGTAAAGAAGATTTGTCTAGAGTTTGAAGGAGGAAATCTCTTCTCAGTTTGAAACCCCAGTATGCACTTTTCTTTTCCCTTCTAAGTTCTTGACCTAACCCATCATTAGCTTTTTCAAATCAACAAGTTCACATCCAACAAAAAAAAAAATCAACAAGTTCACAAGTGAAAGGCCTTCTTCTTTTTTTTTTTTAATTGGGCTATTAGCTTCCTTCTTCTATGTAAATTGGGTTATGCTTAGGGGTGTGCATGAGGCCTGCATGCCCAATAAGCCCGTCTAAGCCCGCAAGAAAAGCGCCCAGCCCAGCCCAGCCCAGTAAAAAGATGCCCAAGCAAAAATAGGCATCTTCGGGCTGGGCTAGGCAGGGCCGCGGGCAGGGTATGCTACCCTGCCCATTTGGTCCTGCCCGAAAAATATATAATTATATATATAAGATAATATTATTTTAAGCAATTATCTCTTTTGTTTTGGCCAAAAAAATTAGGTAAAATTAGAAAAAAATGAAAGGAACATAAAATTATGATTATAATAATCTGCCAACTATATGAATAAACTAAGGAATTGAACTACTGATTTAGCTTGATTATTAAATGTTCTAATTATTAAATATATTTTTTTTACCTCCCATAAGAAATTGAAAGTTGAAGAACAAGACTACATAGGCCTTATATATATATATATATATATGTATGTATGAGTGATAGACTCATTCGTGATAATTTTTTTCCTCTCACTTGTCTCAAAATACGATAATTGAATTTTTTTTTCTACATATGATATAGGACATGGTGTCACTACGCTGGGCAGAAAAGCCCGCCCTGCCCAGCCCGCCCTTGCCCTGCCCAAAATGGTTAGGGCTTCTACTGGGCAGGGCCGGGTAGCGGGCTGCAAAACGCAGCCCGCTCATCTTTCGGGCTGGGCATCGGGCAAGGGGTTTGTCCTGCCCAGCCCTGCCCATGTGCAACCCTAGTTATGCTTATGCGTCTATAAGATGAAACAATCCATCCTATCATTGAATTATCAAGAAATTCACCTGTTGATTCAACTTTGGTTTCCATTCAGATATGTGCTTGATTAGTAGTGTAGATTTTTTATTCTAAAAAGTTTCTTCTTTTGTCCCTTGCTGTTTCAATTTTTTCTATCATGCACCTCAAAGTGAAACATATATAGGTGTATACATTTAATTCTGAAAAATAAAAAAAAGATGGATCCAGTACACAACAATCCTTTAGAAGCTGCTTTCAATAGAGTACTATGAATTTATATCTACTGCAGTCATTGTGAGATTTTATAATTACAAGAAATCCATCTTTTATCAATCAGTTTCTTTTGTCCAAGATTCATTTACTGATACTTGTCATTTTCTACAGATGAAAGATTTAATGAGATTGTTATATGTCCTTACTTGGCTCCTGAGGTACTAAAACGAAACTTGCCACATTGGCCAGGTTAGATTTGTCTTGTGAATGGTATATTTCAGCTCATGACAATTGAATTTTTAATGGCTGAGAATTAAATTTAAAGTCGCTATGGATATGTTGTTAGAAGAAAATAAATGTTTGTCTTCAAATGGCTTCAATATGGTCAGAAAAGTCTATTTGCTTCCCAAGTAATAAATATATTTGGTCTATGCCATCTACTTGTATTGTGAAAATGAAGACTAAAGCAAAAACCTATATTGAATTTTTGCTAAGGGGTTTGCTAGATAAAAGTCAGATTTGTTTGGTAAATCAACAACATTTACTGACTTCTATGCTCCTAATCTTGTCATTGTGCTTGCTTTGGTCTCAAGTTGTGACTAAATGGGTGCTCTTAAGCTTAGAAAATGGCTTCATACTTATATCATTACCAATATGGTATGCTGCTTGATTATAGTTCCACGTCTTTCTCAACGTCTCAAAGCTAAATGCCAAGTTACAACTAACCATTTAGTTTTGTGCGGTTCCAACTGAAAATATAAATATTATCAAATCAAGGACTTAAATTGGTTTTTTATTTGAGTTATTATCTTTCCATCTAGAGCTGGGAAAATAGGCCAGCCTGACGCTCCAGGACTGACCCTGCAGGGCTGGCAGGTTTAAAAGGGCCGGCTCTATAGGGCCAAAATTTTAAAAATACTCTAATTTGCTAGACCTGACCCTTAAGCAGACAGGCTTAGGGCCGGCCCGCGGGCTTTCGGCCCGTTTAATAAAAAAATTTCATTTTTCATATTTTTCATATGTTTTATAAAAAAAACCAATAAAATTACTAGTAAAAGACATATATGTGAATAAAATTAAGTCACAGATATAAAAGATCATCATATTTAAATGTCCATCAACATACAAAAAATTAAAACATCCATTAGACATAATAAGTCAATGACATTAACATCCAAAAGTTCCATTAAAAATAGAAAAATGTTTTCACTAAAAAAGAAGTGGACAAATACTATGATCACTATCATTAATTGTAAGAATATTTGATTGTGCTTTACTAGTAATAGTCTCTTCTTAACTTCTAAAAATATCAATGATTTCTCGGGTTTTAATTATGAAAATCACTTTGCTGTATAATCTCATGGGAAGTCTAAAACTCTTAGCACTTTGGATTGATCCATAATATACTTTTAATGAGCTAACTATGTCATCTTTTTTTTGCTTTTGTTGAGGATGATCTTTTTTGATTTTGTCTAGCTCGCTTGTCCAACTCTATTTAAATATACAGTACAAATTACGATATAGTCACTATAGAAAAAGTGTTAACTTATTTATTTAAATTTTATAACATATATACAAATTGATACGTATCTATTAGTTCAATCATTAAAATTTTTGTTTTAATGTGAGGAATATATTTTGTTTATCTTAATATATAATTGTTGGTTCAAATAAATACAAATTTGAAATCTAATTAAAGATATGGAGAATATATTTTTATTTATTTTAATATCATTAGAGATTGAGGTGTGAGCTGAGAGTAAGTGAAAAATTGAGAGTGAAACTTAGAGAGGGAGAATATGTAAAATGTTAGGGACTTAGGTTAGGATCAAGAAAAAAATATAAATTAAAAAAATTATTGTTGGGGGCTTAAACGAGCTGGCCTTTTTTATTTTCGAGCCTCACAAGACTGGCCCTTTTAAATCCAAATTCTCTTTAAAAATCTCAAATTACAAGCCCTGCCCTCAACTTAAATGGGTTTAAACGAGTCAACCCAACGGGCTCGACCTATTTTCCTGACTCTATTTCAATCTATCAGGTATTTTTTTTCAGAAGAAAAGCACCTAAATTTATACAATTCCTCCAAACACATTAATCCCGACGGTACTATAAGTGTGTTTCTCCTATAGAAAGATAAAGATTAATACAATTTCTTTTACACTGAGCTTCAGAATTATCATCAGGATCAATATGATCATTATGGAGGAGACCTATCCAAAAGCCCCAGCTTAGGCACCTGGTCCCACGCCCATTACATACCTTAACCCTCAAGTACATATCTTTAGTTGGAATTCGGCCCTCGCCATTGAACTGCAAAAGCAAAATAAAGGAATGAATAAAACTAATTATGTTATGAAATATTATAAATTGGAAAGGAAAAAAGAGATGAAGAAAAATAGATAATAGGCCTATGACTACAACTTATAGGTCTCATCGTGTCAAACAATAAGGAAGATATGGATTTCATGAATGTGAAGAACAATGATTCCAAGAGTCTCAAGAGTTATCTATATTTATAACAAATTAAACTTTCAATTATCAAAGTGAAATATCATAAACTGGATTCTCAGCAGTCATACTTGCGTTTTCGCACTGTTGTCTCTACCCTTTTATGAGTACTATACAAACAATCACTTTTATAATTGTAGAGAATTTGAATAAAGGACTTGATGGTGAGTGTTAACATGTACCTTGAATCTTCGAGGGCTGGAAAATTCTGTGCGGAGGCTTACAACCTTCCGCTTTCAAATCAAAGTCAAAATACATCAGTCTTATAAATTTGCAAGCACACTTGACGTATACTTCCCAGAACGGAAACTCCCATCCTCAAACATGCAATCATTCATTTCACTGTGATTCCAACACACACGTTTGCCTCCTCTACAAAAACCACTGTTCATATTCATATCTAACCCAAAAGCTTGCTCTTTCTGCCTTCCAATGTTAAACTTCAACTTGCCTCTTTCTTTTGCCAGCTCCATCCTTCCATCATTCAATTCTTTCCCACATACCTCATCGGTCTGTAATACTTTCCTATTTTCCTCAATACCACCACCACAAATCTCCAAGGGAATTGACTGTTCCCACAATTTTTCACCATTTTTCCTTTCCTTAATTACCTGGCCGCAAATCCTGTATGAGCTTTCGGGAGGAAAGTCTGGCAGCCATCTTGGTATGTGAGAACCTCGCAGATTTTGTTTATAGCAGCCCATGGATGTGTTTGAATCAATGGGTTGTACTGGATTTGGACATGGAGAAAAACTTGGGCAGGGAATTGGCTTTGCACATGATAATTCTTTATAAAGGCTGGAAAATTTCATAATGTCTCTCAATGCTCCAGATCTAAGCAGCTCACTCTTGTGCATCTCTGAAGCTGTGGGAAATCCCCGCACAGAGCATATGTCATGAACAGCATTGATGAGGTCAAAGAGGTTGGCGTTGGTGCGATTTGAGGCATTGGAAAAAGAGGCAGCTGATTTGCCAATGGCTCGCAGATATTCTACAGCAACATTAGTTAAGGTTTCAACAGCATAGAGCTGGGTTCTCTTAAAGCCAACTGACTGACAGATCTGCGAAATGGCAACTTTTGCCACACCAAAAGATAAGTCTGATGGGGCTTTTGCCACTTGAGCCTCGCTTTCAGCACGGTTCTTCTTCTTCTTTTTGGCTTTTGCCTTTAAGGTTGGTTTTGAAGTTGATTTCCTAATGCTTAGGTTTTGCATAGGGTCCATGGAAAAGAGCTGGTGGATGAGAACATATAAGAAACAGAAGCCCTATGCAAAAACTATTGTCAGCAACTCAGCATTTACCACTGATGTGGGTGAAGAAATGCTTACAAGCTCCTTTCTGCCAGTCAAGAAGTATATTCACTGTTAAGACTAATCAACCTTCCCTGAACATCAAAATCCTGCTACGCATGAAGTGAAGTTTGCTGACAGTATATGGATTAAAAGCTTATTGACAACTATGTAAACTGAAACTCAATGCCTATGAAAATAAGCAAAATTCCCCATAAGAGAAATAATGCAATCATTCTGACACAGGAAAAAATGATTCTCTTATACAAATGATAACAAGGAATGCAACATTATAAAATTTTTTAGAAGAACAAGTTACTCAACTAGCTAGATTCCTGCATAGTAGCGGTTCTTAAGAAATTGTTTTGTGAAATAAGATGCAAAATAATGAGATGTGAAACTAAAAAGGATTTACGTTTTTTCCTTCATCATCCGCCACCTCACATTATTGAGGTGGAGGTTGATTAAAGACAGCAAACCCCCCCCCCCGGGGGGGGGGGGCGGGGGCCAAATCTTTGAAAGATGCTAAGGTGATATCATTCCCTTTTTAATTTTTGTTCCAGATACTTTAATGAAGATGCCTTGGTTAGCCGAATTGGTGCAGGCAACTCCTCCAAGCCACTTAAGAATGACACTATTAAGACTCTAGCAATTTACGATCTTCGAAATAATTAAAGTGAAAAAAACAGAAGACAAAGCAAGAAACGGTACGACGGCGACAGACGCAGGGTTGGCAATGAACAGAAATCAACAGATGACGGGGGAAACAAATTCAAAGCCAGATTGAACAAATCAATGTAAACGGATTGAGGGAGAAGAAGAAGTACGCACCTTCTTCAACACTTGCCGGAGAACAACCACGCAGGGCTGACAACAGTGGACGGCGTCCGACGGGGAGCTCAACCAGGGGGGAATGCCGAACCAAAAAAGGAATTTATCAAGCGAAAAGGGCTTTTTTTTTTATTTTATTTTATTTTGAGTGAGCACTGAAAAGGGCTCTGTTTAAAGCCTAAAATTAATTCATTTTCGCCAAAAGTGTTATTTTAGTTTTTTTCCAGAGAAAATTCCCCGCTAATTCTTGAGGTTTAAAATCAAATTTTTTTTAAGAGGTAGTTCAAATATAAAAAAGATATAAAGATCAAGCATTAAGATGATGCAATTTGAGAATTTCTCCAAATGACAAAGAAGATTTCAAGATTTACCTTTTTTTTTAAGCAAAAAATAACAAGTATTTAGTCATCAGAAAAAATGACAAGTATTTACATGGAAGATGAATTTCCCGATATATCTTATCCAAAAAAGAGTCCTGCCTTGGTAGATGAGAAACAAGCTACTCCTCCGGTTCTAGATATAAGATTCTTTTTATAGTATAATTTACATTATAAAAAGGATCTTATATTATGATCGGAGGAGTACTTCATTAAAATATTAAAACCATGTTTGGTCATCCCCCAAAAAGAAAAAACAACAAAAACAAATAATTTGCTTAAAAGTTTGAAGATCAAACAATCTTCTTATGACTTGAGAGTTCCATTTAACAGGGTGCCATATATTGCTGCCTCTTTCAGCAAGATCAGCTATTATTAATGTCTGATTGGCAGCAAGAGGACTATTAGATCTCATAGGCATGGTTTAAGGGAATATAAGGAACCATGCTTCTTAAATCAAACTTTAATATGTGAAGGGAAAGTGATCAAAAGAAGAAAACTGAATATAGAAAATTCTAAAAAGCATATTTAGCACTTTAAAATGACAGGAAAAAAAGGCCTAAACTAAAATTATGAAAATGTGAAGAAATAACTAATATGCCCTTGTGTTATCAAATTGTTATTTTGCATTCTGTTATTATTATTTTTAGTTCACATCCTGTTATTTTCAATTCACAAGTTATATCCTAATAACATGTTGTGATGAGCAATTTAGAATTTATCATTTTCGGTTCAAAAATTGTTGGTTCATATTTCACACAAAGACATATATTGGTCATTTTTTTTCAAGTTTTCATAATTCCAATTCAGGCTTTCCTTATTTCGTGTTATTTGGAAGTGTTAACTGTGCATTTTGAAATTTACTATATTCAATTTTTTTGGGGTCATTTTCCCATATGAAAAAGTTAAGAAATGATTCAATTTTAGAGAAGACTAACGTGCTTTGGTTGCGGGGGCAATTGGATAATTAACATGTCCAGAGACCCAAGAAAAAGGAAAACCCAAGACAAGAGCATCACATTTTACTGTAGCATCGCATGACAATTCTACTCAAAATTCAAGGGCAGAGATCCATAGGGAAAATGACATATAAAGAAACCTGAAATTATAAAATGCCAAAATGGGAAGCTAAGCAAATGTATTACCAGATAGGGAAGTGTTGCTTGATTTGGGATTATGCAAATGTTGCATAATTACGAAACAGCCCCTCATATGCAAACAGAAAAAGTGACCGGTGGAAGTGTGCAAGTTGTGGCGGGAGCTGGAGGAAAAACTTGGGAGGGACCATGAACGTGGGAGCATGAATGCGCGAAGCAACAACTGAACGATGAAAGCGAGGTTAGTATTCAGTGACTATATTGTTCGCCTCTATCTTTTGTCCGTCTCCTTTATGCGCTGGTTGATTTTCCTCTTCTCATTGGATGGTAATGTCGTCGATGTGGGGATGGTTTTGAGGTGGAGAGGGTGGCGAAGCATGGAGATGGCGTGGGTATATAGAAAGTGTGAGGAAGGACGGTGATCAGAGGGTGAATGCACGGGGAAGGAAAAACACTGAGGGAGAGGGGTTTGATGGTGTCACAAGTGGGTTAGAGTGATTAGTGTCAGATAAAGGGACAATGTTAGAGGGAGATTCGAATAATGGAGTGGATTGATTCTGAGAAAATAAAGCATTAGTATGGACAGGAAAGAAATGAGTGTTTTGTTGCAAATTATAAGCATGAATGTGTCAAACCCTAAGTTGGTCGTGTAAGTTGATGATGATGGTATTAAGTCATATAATCATTCGACTTCTGTTATCAGTGCAGGTAATGAAGATAAATGAATTTCGAAGCTGGGTCATCTTGTGGGAAGGAGCTGTTCTGTTATTTTCATGTGGGGGGGAAATTTGTGACAAATGGTGAAGGTGAAGTGAGATATAATGGAGGTGGCGTGAGGTTAAGAAGCATTAAGGATGGGCTGACACTTGATGAATTGAGGCTAATGATATCTGAGTGGATTGGTGGTGATGGAAGAAATTATGACATTAAGTACATAGTGGCCTTTGATGAGAAGACATTGATTGACCTTCATGACAATGTTGAAATGTATAACCTCTTTCAATACAATGGGAACAGCGATCATGTGTATGTAGCCGAAAAAAGACAAGTGGGTCCCCAACCAAGGGACAATGTAGAAATGTAAGTGGAAGTTTGTCCTAACTATTTGTTGTCATTTATGAATTTGTTCTTGTCATTTATGTTAACGAGTCTTGTCATTATGAATGCAGAACAGAGAGATTCATGGGCATGTCACAGCAAACGGAACTGGATGCGTTTCCCATTAGTTTGTGTTGTGATTATGGCTGGCTCAATGAAGAAAATACTCGTGAATGTGACAATGATGAAATAAGTAGGCCCCCTAATGTGGATACATCTATCGTAGCTTAAGATACGGATGGTAGTGAGATGGTTCATGCGGAATGGAGGGGACTTTTTACAGGAGTGGGCCAACGTTTTCCTAGTGCAGATGTATTTCGGGTGTCTGTATACAAGTTTGCACTTGCAAACAAGTTTGTGGCCAAGTATGTGAGGAATAACAAGGAATTCATGTCGATGAGGTGTAAAGTTGAGGGTTGTCCATGGAAGTTATGTGCAAATCATGTGGGGAAGAGTTGTGATGTGCTACGAGTGACGACATTTATAAACTGGCATGTTCATTCTGCCCAAGATAGCTTGGACGTGATGCATATTGGAAGAGCTAGTTTGAACTCATCAATAATAATTGATGAGATGAGGGATCATGCAGACAAGCGCACTTCTGAGATAAGGAAGAGGTTGAAACGAGAGTATGGGATTGATCTAACATATAAACAGGCTTATAGAGCAAGAGAGAAGTCATTGGAAGACATATATGGCAGGCCTAAACAATCATACATGCTCATACCATGGGTATGCGAAAGGATAAAGGAAACAGATGAAAAATCCGTGGCTGAATAGACTGCTATTGGGAACCGGTTTGAGCGTGTTTTCATTGCCTACGGGGCATGCATTGAGGGTTTCTTGGGTGGTGCGAGGCGTATTATGTATGTTGATGGAACTCACTTAAGCGGACCATACAAGGGGACAATGTTGTCAGCTTTAGCTTATGATGCAGATAACGAGCTGCTGCCGTTTGCAATTGCAATTGTGAAGGGAGAAACACTAGATGACTGGACGTGGTTTTTCTATATGATAAAAAAAAATCCTGGGTTCTGTGGAAGTAACGATTGTATCAGATCAACACAATGCTATCATCGGAGGAGTAGCATCAATCTTTGGGGGTCAAAGGCATGCCTTTTGTTATAGACACGTCAAGGAGAATTTTAGTTCAGAAGTTATGAAAATTAATAAGGGGCAAACAAGGACAAATGGCCGATCAAAGGAGGATGCACTATATTTATTGGATAAAATTGCATACGCAAGGACAGATGAGAAATTTGAGGCAGCAATGGATGACATGAGATCCTTTTCTCCAAGGCTATTTGATTGGCTTATTCATCATGGGGATGTAGATAGGTGGGCTAAAAGCAGGTTCCCATATAAAAGATGGGACAATATTACAAGTAATATAGCAGAATCATTCAATGCATGGATGGTCAATGAGAGAAAGCATACTGTACCCCAATTGATCTATGAGCACCGAGATAAAGTTGCAAGAAAGCTGCATGCCTCCTATGTGGCTATGACCAAATGGAAGAATTGCGTTGGTCCAAATATAGAGAGTAAGGTGCTGGATATGGTGGCTGGGTCTGACCATATGTATGTTGAAAATTATGGTGGGGGAAGAGTGAAGGTGACAACATCACGTGGAGACCATCAGGTTGATCTTGGACTACACCAATGCAGTTGCAGATCTTGGTAAATGACGGGGATCCCTTGTTCCCATGCTTGTGCTGCCATCAAGATTGTGCACGGCAATATTTATGATTATATTGATAATTGCTATAAAAAGTCATCACAAGAAAAGATTTATGCTCGCAGTATGATTCCTGTGGTAACAACAGACATGCCTCACCCAAATGACTACTATAGAATAGAAAATGTCAGTGAGCAAGTTTTCTTGCTACCTCCCATGACATCCCGACCACCAGGAAGACCAAAAGTAAACAAGGATGAACCACAGTTCCAGAACAAACGAATATACCACTGTGAAAGATGCCACCAACCTGGACACACAAGGAGGAATTGCAGAAATCCTAATCCATCATGAAGTTTCGAGTACAGTGGGGATGGGTCATTTTTTGGTGTACATAGTTTTATGCTCCGCCCTTGTCAACTTTTTTGGAAATGGGGTTGTAGTTAGGAGCTAGGTGGAGACATTTTTTTGTAAGTAAGCTGATAGAAATTTCAGTGATAAGGGAGCATTAAGTGTGGCTAGTATCTTAATGTCCACTTGTCATTGAATACATGAAAGGAAGTTACTGTTATGGGGATGTTAGCTTTTGTTAATGGCGCATTACTTGTTGTCATTTTAAAAATTGTTCTGGTCATTGGCAGTGATGCTATCAGGATAAGCTGACAGCCGATGTTAAACTGATGTTATAAAATCAGACCAGGTTATCCTTATCATTATCATTGTCATATTCGGATCACTTGTTGTCATTTTTAAATTTGTTCTGGTCATTGGCAGTGATGCTATCAGCATAAGTTGATAGCGGTGTTAAACTGATGTTATAAAATCAGACCATGTTATCCTTATCATTATTGTTGTCATATTCGGATCACTTG